TAAAGGCTAGTTTCCATTCAGGAAAATTATCCGTGGATTGGAACGGACAAGAAAATTTTTCTTTGTGTTAAAAGTCATTAGTTCCAACCCAGAGCTCACAAGACAAAAAAAATTTTCCTGTCCGTTCCAATCCACGGATAATTTTCCTGAGTGGAAATTAGCCTTAAGAATCCGGCAATCGAGTATTTCATGTTAATGCAAGTGATAGCCTGTCCATAAAAAATCAGCATAATCACTATAATTATTACTAATCGAGATCTCCTTTAAGTGATTATTGAGAAACTGCATAAAAATTGCTTTCACTGCACTTAATGTCAGTAATAACTCTTCTTTGCCACAGCGCATGAGCTCATGAAATCAGATCAGCGTGATCACTTCGCGCTAATATAGAATTCCCTTCAAGTTATCAGTGATCTATATTAAAAGTCACTTCTAATGAGAAAGAACTTGAGGTGATTATTCCCTCGGCTGAGCAGAGCTTTATTTCAAGTTGTCTTCGCCAGATGTCATGCTTGAGCGCATGAGCTCATTTTCAGCTCAACCGCAGCTGATCCAAACTACAGCACGTCCCAAGCAAAGGAAATCAATACCGTGCATTGTTTTTTACCTTAAGCAACGCGTACTTAATGGTAGTACACTTGTAACTTATATGCCCTGTGTACTGCAACAGAACAACATTATAAAACACGTGATTAAATATTTCAAACCTGGTACTACGTACTTACCATGTGTTATTTTCGGCATGATAGTGATTATATAGTCCTTAAATTTTGCAGAATATGCGTTCAGAAAGGCGCTCTCCTCGAAGATAACTTCAATCTTCAGTAAACAGCGTATTACTTAGCAAATATTCATTAATTGTGCAATGGCTATATCAATATAATAGATTGGAACATGGCTTGTCCAATGAACAAACATAAAGTATAATTGCATGAGTCACTTCGCTCCGAGATGTCATCTATTATGAATGTAATTTCCGTAAAATGAGTTCGTAGGATATTGATTGATCACATAAAGTTATCACATGGTAAAGAAAGTTGTTTGTTTGTTTGTTTGATTAAAAACTGCTTCGGGCAGAAGTCGAAGTTTTCATGCGGTAAACACGACGCTAAAATAGCATGGTTTGTGATTGGCTTCCTTAAACAAAAGTAAGCAGTTTTTGTTACACTGGTTCCACAGAAAATTATAGTTGTATTATGTTTCATTCTCCTATGAACCAATCACAGAGCCTCGACTTCGTGTCATCGCACGCTTTTCATGTGGCCTAATGACTCTTCCTAATGGAATAAGTCTTTGTGCAAAGTCATTAATTAACATAATATTCGGAATAATAGCGAGTTTGACGCTTGAAACAAGCCTAATTGTTGTACTTTTCTTACATGAAAAAAGGTGGTCAGCTGCTCCAGTTCGAAAGAAAGTCATTACAATATGATATTTGCCCTCCATCGGCCTCTGCATCTGTTAAAGTCTCATGGGATTTGCTTGAAACCCAATTATAACAAGTATTAGTTCAAAAAAATTACATACAGCCGTATAAACTCAGTCGAAATAATGATGCGTGAAAACACAAGGTTTTCTGCACATGGGAATTTAGGATAACTTCTATTTGTATGAACAAATACACAACTAAAAAAATGTTTAAATTCAAGGGGCAGTGCCACGGCGCTGATTGGCTAAAAATTCAGAGACGGATTTTCATATTTTCGTTCGGGGGGGGGGTAGATAAATATCTGGGGGTGCTGCTGCTTGTTTTGGCCGGGGCGTGGTGGCAACGCCCGGAAAGGCCAAGGAAAAAGTTTAACAAAAGTTGTTTTCTAGGCCTGCATGGCGAGATCTGAGACCATAATATTGGTAATTTTACAAAATTAGTAGTACGAATAATCAAATATCAAAATATATATAATTTGCGGGGATGCAAAAACTTTTGGAGGCGGTGCCAAATGCCTCTGGGGGGTGCAAATCATTTCTGGGGGGCGCCGCACCCCCACCCCCCAGAAAATCCGTGCCTGGCTAAAATAAGCGGCGCAAAGAAACGTTTAAAATTAATGCTACATGATTGGAAAAGATGTCCTGCATATAACGAAGGGATTATAAATAGTGTATCGTATTTCACTCCTAACTCGATAAATTGTTGGCAGACAGTTTTTCAAGTTCGCGCATATTTTGGATGCGCAGCAGAACCGTGACACTGCCCCTTTAAGCATTATTCAAGTCTGCGTAAGATATAAAACTGGCCAGCTTGCTGCAGAGCAACAAGTATTTAAAAGTTATAGCCGTAATTCGAATTTGAAAGGGTGTAAATTTTTTATACACCCTGTATAACTGCAGTTATTAGTATACAGCAAAACTTTTGATCTATCGGCTAGCAGGCATGTCTGCCCCAACCCCGGCGAAGTTGTGCCTCCCCCGTTCACAATATTAAGAGTAGTTAAAAGGCGCTGGCATTATATTTTAATTTTTGAAAAGCAGATTTTTATTTTGCCATGATAATTAAATGTTCTGGGTTGACTTTTCCATTTACTCATGTAGTTATGCGTAAATGATTTGAAACAATCAAAAGTGCATGACATGACTCCTGGGATGGGCTGGGATCCGAACCTAAATGCCCCCGCAGACTTCAAACTCTAACAATACGTTATTTCAATAGTTTTTTTGGGGACACCCTGTGTAATTCCGGATAATGAGCAGACAATCTTAGTCTTAAAAACCCCCTGCGATGCCCCAAATGTCCGCTTAATCGGAGGTTCGATTGTAACTTTCATTCAGAAACCCTTCTGCTGTAATACATGCGTTTCTCTCAAGTTTGCAAGACAGTAACACCTAAAGGAAGAATATTAAAACAAGAAAAAATCTAACCGTTTTGAAACTCCAACAGTTTGCTACTGTTTTTGTGCATGTTCTTGACGCTGGCTTCCCTCTCCATTACAAACGCAATTCTCATTCAATTGAGTTCCACGTAAGTTTATTTGCCTGTGGCGATCATTGCACTGACTTCAGCAACACAACTACTGTATATAAAAAATTACAAGGATTACAATTTTTGCATAACTTGTCACTGAAATGACTCATTTCAATATTTTGTTGCAGCAACAATGCATCAATAATTGACATTTTAATAACTTTAAAGTTTATTATTCATAACTTTCTTTATTAAAACTGCCGACTTTATTACAACACTGACACCGGATCGCTTTGACGTTTTTCATGCAAGATATATACAGAATCCTCACAGCGTTAAGTTTGGAAACATTGCTGAAAACTTGTAGAATATATCAATATTTATAAATTGCTAAGAAAAAGGAAAATAGAAACGCAATCTCGTCATTAAATCTTATTCCCAAACTCATTAATAATTCATAAAGCAGAAACAGAAGAAATTCAATATTTGACTAAGTGTTTTCAGTGCAAACTACAGAACAAATTTGAAGACGTTTACAGGGGATTTTGAATTTTTTCTGAAACACTAGGGCTTTAAAACTATGTAAATTATCATAAATTACAACGTTTGAGGTGTGAGTTCTATACTTGTCTCAGTTCGGGCATTAATAATACACGATTCAAAACCGCATACAGACTTGAAATTCGGGGCGGTACAACTGTCTGTCTCATATTTGAACTATTACTTGAAAGTATTAAATTGAGATTGTGTTTGCTAACAGACCTTAATAAATGGAAAGATTGTTTATATTTAAACGGACAGTTGTTTAATAGTTGCGTTTTCTCCACTTCAACTGTATCGTAACGTACCCGGGGGGCAGCGCTAGACTTCTTTGAATGGGGGGGTAAGTGAATTTTGCCGAGTGATCAAGCCAAATTTTCCCGAGTTACTACAATCACATCACAGCAACATCATCAGTCACTCCCAAAAACAACATCAAAATTTTTTTTTCCCCGAAGAACATATTTCTCAATCTTATTTTGTGTTTAACCATCGTTCTTCGTTCCATTTGCCCAACATTTTTTCGTAAATTTCTCCACCTTTTAGCCATCATTCTTAATTTTTAATCGGTGTCACTAAAAAGTCATTACTTCCACTCTAGTGCTCAGGAAACGACATTTCCACTCAAGAAAAATTTCCACGGACAGAAAATTTTCCGAAAATATCATTGTTAAAAGTTGAAAATTTTCAATTTAAAAAATTTTTTTCCAGCGGAAAATTTGTGTCGGCGAATCACATTTGATGCGTCATATCAATTCAGTTTATTATGGAGATCAGGTGTTGTCCAAAATTTCTACGATGGAACAACATGAAGTATCAATTACAAATTCAAGATGGTGGACGCAAAGCGCTGTTGTTGAAAGAAAATTTTTATAAACTGGCAAATAACAAGAAAGATGTCGCTTGTTTCATACGCCGATAGCGACGATAGTGGGGAAGAGGATATGAGCGAGCCTGAAGTGAAAACAAATGTGAAAAAGAATGAGGATAAAGCCGTCAAAATTGACAAAACAGGCTTACAAACTAAGGCATCGGTTGAGCAAAACAAAACACAACGGCAAACTATCGATGCTCGTGGCTCTGATATGACAAAACCAAAGTCAATAGGAAGTTTATTTTCATCCCTTCCAGCCCCATGGATGTCTACAGTAACGTGGGCAAATAAAATTTCTGGTAAAAAGGCAGGAACGAAAGCGAGGGAACAAACAGTGAAAATCACGTTGCCCACTCTGGCTGATAATGTATGTTAGGTTATAGAATGGAAGGCTACGTTTACACTCTACTGGACAACTTTCCGTAGCGACGTGAAAAAACATCTATCCGTACCTTTTAGGAATGCTATTTTCAGAGGAATTATTGCAACGGAGAGATGTTGTTTCGCTCAGCTTCTCAAAGTTGTACATTCCGCCACTACGGAAGCTATCCGTGTATAGTGTAAATGTAGGTTAAGGTACTCATACTGGCTAGTTAGACGTATTGGAGTGCCTTCGTCCACCCGGCGTTATATTCTTAGGGTAAACACAAGATGAACTGTGTCCAGAATATGTTCATCATCTATACCTAGTCCTAGCTAGAATATCGTGTTCTGGCAACAAATCATGTCTGATATTTTACTGCATGGTAGTCTGTACGATGCTGTTTATGAACGGATCACCCATCAAGACGAACTATACGCATGCAAGTTATTCAGTAGCGACCTTAAGCATGTAGGCCGGGAACGAGACGGCAAAAAACTCGTTGAACCAAATGATTAAAAAATTTCAAGGATTGAGGTTAATAACACAGGATTTGATTGGAAAAAGTTTTAGGACCCAATTGAAAGTAGCTGTTGTCCCAGCTTGAAATATAAGCGCTGTATACAAGACGTGATAATCTGTACTTTGCCGTTGTAAAACAGAGCTACGTCGAAAACTTCCGTGGAATTTTAATTGTTCATTTCTGCTCATTTTCTGAATGAATGAATGTTTGAATCTTAATTGTATTAATGATATTAACCCTACTTGTTGCACTTTCGTCCAGCTTGTTGAGGTTCTTAATAACAGTAGTTCTTTATCATTTTAAAAGTGTAAAATTTAAGACTGTTTCTTGTCACGCTCCCGTGCTAGATTAAGCCTTGCTTAAGTTTGCTAGTGTTAACAAACTACACAGATACAGTAGTTCATCTTGACGGGTGATCCATCTTTTTGACGTGTTTCTACACAGTTATCAGACGAACTACTTTTTTGCCTAAGTTTGTCCAGACTGGTCATCCACCTCTAATAAGTCAAGTCAAATAAAAAAGATCTATGTAGAAGTATTATATATAATAATTTAATATAAACGTTTAGTCAGATTCCGACGATGAAGATTATGCGAGAAAAAAAGTGACACCTTCCACAAGTTCAGAGGTAAAAACCCATTCCTACGTTTATCAATTATCCAACTAAAAATCCAAGTACTCAAGTCAATAATTTGACGCGTTGTACTTATTGTTTGTTATATTACAGCAATCATCAGGCCTCTTCTCTCTCCTGCCTAAACCAAAACACAGCGTCGTGGTCAAAGAGAACAACCCAAACAGACCCGTAGCAAAAATATCCAACCGTCCATTAATTCCTGACAGCTTGCGAAGAAAGCCAGTCAAGAAGCCAACACCTCAAATCAAGAAGCCAACACCTCAAGCTAAGAGACCACCAGCAAAAGATGATGGCAGTGACGATGATAGTGATGATGACGATGGAGGAAGCTTTTTCTCATGGAATGAACCAAAAACATCGACTGCTCAAGACGCTTCAAACAGCCAAGTCACGTCTGGTAGCGCTCTTTGTATTAGTATCTGACTAAACAGTTTAGTAGAAAGTTAGAGTAAAAAGATCCTCCCAACATTGTTTGAAACGTCGAAGTATTTCTAAATATTATCTGGTAGTTCAATCACAAACCACTTCAGCTTAGTTTTACAAAAGCTCCGTCGAGCGATTTCCAACCACGGTACAATATTACTTTTTTGTGAATTTACTTTTCTTAGATGCTGGATCAACAATCATTTCTGATGAAACGGGAGAACCCAGTAATGCTGTCACTCAAACTAAAAAACCTGCTAACATTTTACCTTCAATGAAAATCCCAGCTACGAATGATGCCACCGTAATAGGAACATTACAGGGAACTAAAAGCACAGAAAATATGCAAACTTTTTCACAGGACGTTTTCACTACGCATTCAAAATATTTTGAAAATCAAAATGATTATAATGCGCAAGGATATTCCCATCAAGGAACCAGTTACCCCCTGGAATACTCTGGTAGTTATCAGACAAATTCTGAGAATGTTGGTTACGCCGAACCAAACTATGTAAGTCTATTTTGTTTCAAGTTTTTAAAGCAAAGATGACCATCTAATTTTGTTTCAACAAAGCTATATGTATGTAGGAACGTTTATAAAAGCAAACTGCATGTATTGTACAAAGCAAAATTAACAAATTTGACAAGAATTAGCGGTTTAACACCATCTAATCCAAACACCATCTGCTGTGCAATAGCGCTTAGTGAAAAGCTGTAAAACACGCCTAGGACTGACCAGTTTTAAAACTGCAGTGAACACAAAGAACTTAATTACTGCATTGTATCATTTCCTTGCACCAGCCATACTACGATTACTGCAACTCGGAACAATATAATCAAGCCACGACAGAACAAGAACAAAATTATCCCGTCTGGCCAGCGCAAGCCACCGTCGAAGAAACTCCTGGACAGGTAGTCTCTGTTCCAGCAATGTTGACATTTCTTTGATTTGAATTTCACCACAGTCTCATGTGAGAAGAGTGGCTTGACTCTACCAAACGCCACATCTTGCAACACTGGATCAATAAGAAATGATTCTTACTGGACCTCTCAGGACTCGGGCTTAGATCTGACAGAGATATCCAGTATAAATAAAGTTAGTTTAGGTTTTGTACTATTAACACTGGATCAATAAGAGATGATCCTTACTAGACCTCTAGGAAGAACAGTTTAGAACTGATAGAGCTATCCAGTATAAATAAAGTTAGTTTAGTTTAGGTTTCCTCCTGTAGTAACACTGGATCAATAAGAGATGATCCTTACTGGACCCCTAGGAAGAACTGTTTAGAACTGATAGAGCTATACCGTTATGGAGCTATCCAGTGTGAAGTTAATTCGAACTATTCTGGCTGTGTTAGTTTAAGAGATTTCTAGGAAAGCGAGGTCATGGTGAAGAGAATATTGAAATTATTGATGTAAATGCTGATGATCAAGTTGGCTCTTCACGAGAATGGAAGTCAAACTATCATAAAGAAGATGCAGATTATAAACCACAGTCAAAGGTGAATTTTTGAAGATGATCTGAAATTACGTAGTAAAAACGCGCAAATTGTTACAGGTCCACTTGCTACAAAGTTGATGACTTAGACTACGTGCACACGGTAACGTTTTCGAGCGTTTTCATTTGCGTTTTCACGCTAAAACGGATGCGAAAACTATTAATTTACGACTGAAGCTTTAGTTTATTTAATATATTGGAGATATTTTCCTTTGAACCACGTGAACAGGGCATCAAAGCGATTAAAGGGACAAAAACGTTTTTGAAAACGCTCGAAAACGACGCCCGTGTGCACATAGCCTTAGTAACAGACTTACAAGATGTTCCATGAACATGTTGGTTCTGCAATTCAACAACTTGTTAGCGATACAAACTTTTTATTTAATTTCTAGAAAAAGGATAACCTGCCCTCATCTCAACAGAGGAAAAAACACCAGATAACTTATCTCGCTTTTCAGGTAAAATTGTCTAAGGGGCCATTCACAAAGGATGTCCGAGCCGAGGGGGGGAGGGGGGTTTGGAAAATCAGGACAAACTCGGACATAGGGGGGGGGGGTTAGCAATCCGGATGTCCGAAATTTAAAAAAATTCAAAAACAAATTTCTTTTTCCCTCTATTTTGAGCAGTCCTTCCCATTGTGAAATTGGCATTTTGACTATGCGGTTAACACTAGATTTTGTTTTAATTAGTAATTTATATGTTTTTTGTGTTCACATTTACAGTTATAAAAAAGTTCTAAAAGTAAAAAAGTTTTTTACTCTTGATATATACAAGGTTGCGTGAGTTTTTGCGAGGCATGGCGGATTTCGGACAATGCCGGACAAGGGGGGGGGGGTCTGAAAATTCATCATTTGGCCGGACATCCTTTGTGAATGGCCCCTAAGACTGATAACAAACTTTGAATACCTCAAACATTTAAAAGTCAAATAAATTTTTTTTGTGCCTCCCTCTCCATTGCATCCCTGTTGACCTAGCCTGCGTGCAGCCTGACTTTGTCAGGCTGCACGCAGGCTATGTTGACCAAGGCCAGCACAGGTGCACACCCCCTATAAATACACCATTGTGTGTTAATTGTTGTTTTTGTACCAGGCCAAGGAAAAGGAATGGGAACTACGAAACCAGTGGTCTGCTAATAGACAGACAAAAAGACAGACTCAGTCGAAATATGGATTTTAAAACTTACAAGTCCAAAGCTTTGCAGGAGAATTACTGTATCATCACAAATGTCATTAGTTTGGTTGTCAATTTGTATATGCGGATATAATACGCAATTAACCATAATCTACTATAACCAACAATGTATCCATAATTATTGTACATAATGCATACTTAGAATACATTAATAATAGACATGATCTTTTTTGTGTAATTTTATTTTGGAAATAAATTTTGGATTAAAGCATCCGGATTTAAACATTACATAAAGTAAAAAATATTAAATAGCGCTATCTCTGTCTTCATATTGTTGTACTTCTCTTCCAAAATCTTTCAACCTCGTTACAGTCTAAGAAAATGAAAAACAATGTGAACAACAGTTGGAAAATGTCATATTAAATACAAAGTACAAAATAGTTTAAAGATGGTTGCAATGGCAGTAACGAAGATTATTTTTCAATGAAAATGTAATCACAAACCTTCATCAAATTATGCTGGTATTTCATGATCAAATTTCTTGTTAACAAACGGCACATACTGCATAACAAGTTTCCAATCAGTAAGGTAAAGTAACACAGCCCCGGCTGCTCCACCCCAACCAAATGCTGTTGAACCCCTGCAAAAGTTTATGTCAATGTTAGTTTCTAGTTAAGTTCACTCTGAATAAAGTCAAGTCAAACATGGTCGTTCTGAAAGGGGTGTTTTTATGGCAGTGGAATGCCCTGGTTAGCAAGACAGGCTGACAAGCAAAAATGAGAAAACGTCATGGAGATTGCAAGGAAGTTTTGGTTGGTCTAAAAGGCAGCATCTCTGTACTTTTATCTCTAGCTGCAATCTGTCGACCTCCATTACTGTCAATGCAATGGAAGTGTTGATAAAATATTGTATGAATTCATTTCCTCAAGTTGATCAATTCATACGAATTCAAATTTCGTTTCACCTCCTGTGCGTTTCCTATTGGTCAATCGATTCTGAAACGAAATCTAATTGGCTCATCTAAAAGTAACAGGAAGTTGATCAATTTTCTATCAAATGAATTGATCAACTTGAGGAAAGGAACTGGTGCAATATTTTATCAGCACTTCCATTGCATCAACAGTAACAAGTGTGACGAAACATTCACTGCCTCAATCTCACTTTTCTAAAGATCTCAGCCATTGGCTTAGCCCGGTCAACCATTATAAACGGGTCATTCCATTTAAGGTCGTTTAATGTAGGCATCCCCCAACTGAGATATCGGGCATGCAATTTTGATGCTTTTTATATATTCACTATTAAATTTTTGAAATATTGGCTGCAGAATTTCAAAACTTTCCAGTCAGCCCCCCCCCCTATTAATTGGTCCAGCACTCCCCTTTAATAGGATAAAAATTGGAACTCCCTTGTATTTTTCGGTGTCTACCTTGTATGGGACTTCGTGTCCTTTTGCAGTTGCACCTGCCCTTATATGCCAAATTATTTTAAAATACAAAATATTAGATGATGACAGTATGCAATAAAATTAATTTAAAATTTATACTTACAATCCTCTGGTGCGTTGACCAATAAATCTTGACAGCAGCTTAGCTTCTTGAACGAGAGGCATATTTACACAGCAGCTCAACTAAAACGTCGAACTTTCAAAGGAAAAAAATTAATTGCAAAAATCCAAACAAAATCTTCAGTAGTTTTCAGAAAATAAAAATCAACACCACAAAATACGAATAATCGTCGCGCCATATGCATAAATACGGCAAAAAATTCGCAAATTGCAAGCAGTCCAATTTTCAAAATTTATGAGCTTTTTAGGAAAGCACAACGCTTAAGTACACACAAAAAGTATTAAAGACTGAAAGATATTTAATAGAATAAGTTTTAGGGGAAAAATGGCAAAACATACTTATTTCAACTTTGAAAAAGCGAAAAACACAGTACTGGTTTGGTTTATTCGCCTTTTTACCGCATTTTTTACTTGCCCGAGCCTATTGTTTTATGTTGTAGCGGTATCTAGTATAAGAAACTTAGTGTAGGGTTTGTGTATTTGTCATTCAATAATGGCTCAAAAAATATAAATGGAATTTGTAATGCCTTTTCTACTATACAAATAGCTAGGATGGATTCCAGGAGAGTTGAATATCTGAAAAATCATTTTGCAATCACACTGTTTATCAAAGAAACAGGTTAAGTATGGTAAATGGCAGAAAGTTGCCTTGCTTTTTACAGTGACCTCTATGTACAACTGGACAAAATATTGCCAGGTGGTTCAGACACTGAGAGACACAAACCACGGCAGCTTATTGTACATGCCTGTACTACCTACTCCAGGACCATGTTTAAGACATGATTTTCAGGTAGTTAAGACATGAACATATTATTGAATCAGACACAAGCGACAAGCCATAATGGCCGGTTAATAGTTGAATACTATCTGGACGGACTGTGGACACCATGTTTGACAGCTTCCATGCATCTTTGTATATTGTAGGTCAATGCCTCAAGTTACCAGACATAACGATTGCGTCAGCCTGTGTTCTTTATCACCGGTTTATCTCGGCAATTGATGATCCTAATGATTTTGATCTAAATGTATGTTTAAGTTAGGTTACTTTATACATTATAATTGCAATCTTTTGGGCTGCACCAAGCCCGTAGCTGGCTCTCAATTTCTGGGGGGGGGCACTCACTCCAGAAAGAATGTAACCGACCGTTTGAGATGAAAATATTTTTTTTCCGGAATTAATTTTGGCGACCCCCCTCCCCCCCACCAATTTTTCCGGACATACTCCATTTTTCTGAAACCTAACAAAATTTTTCGAAAATCACAAAATTTTCCACAAAATTTACAGAATTTTTTCCATTATTACAATTGGTTCCCAGGCCCTTTATCTCAATTTTTCATACCCGATTTCCGAGTGGGGGGCACTGGGGGGCACTGCCCCACCGAGTGAGGGGGCATTGCCCCCCCAGCTACGGGCCTGGGCTGCACCCATTATATTGTTTGATTCGACTTGTCCAAATAAAATTTCACATCAGTCACATGCGAGTACTTCCAGTTTCACTCAACTTAAGACCACAGCTACCCTGGCCAGTTTCCTTCTGCACTAACACCAGACCAATAAGAGATGACCCTTGCTGGATCTCTCTGAAGAACGGTTTAGAACTATCCAATATAAATATTTAGGTTTCCTCTTGTAGCATGTAGCAATGTGGCTCTTACTGGACCTCTGGGGAGAACAGTTTAGAACTGAGAGCCAGTATAAATAAAGTTAGTTTAGGTTTCCTCCTGTAGTAACACTGGATCAATACGAGATGATCGTCACTGGACCTCTAGGAAGAACAGTTTAGAACTGATAGAGCTATCCAGTATAAATGAAGTTAGTTTAGGTTTCCTTGTGTAACACTGAATCAATAAGAGATATGATCCTTACTGGACCTCTAGGAAGAACAGTTTAGAACTGTCGATAGAACTATCCAGTATAAACATATTTTACTTTGCTGATATTTATTTGAAAAAATTCTGTTATAGATTGTAGGAAGTACAGCTCTGTATCTTGCTGGCAAAGTCGAGGAAACCCCATGCAAGTTGAGGGATCTTATTAACATGTCGTACAGCATTCTGAACAAAGACAAACCTCCAATCGAGATTGCAAAGAAGTACTGGGCATTACGCGACACTATTGTCAAATGTGAACTGTTATTTTTACGACTTCTTGGTTTCCAAGTGACAGTGGACAACCCTCATAAAGTAATTATAAAACAATCAATTTTGTTTAAGAGTATGTCAGGTCTAAAATGTTCTCCCTGATTAGGACCATATCCCTTGCAAAAGGAAACTAGAGTATCTCGACAAAACCTGCATTAGGCAAAAAAAAAAAATATGTGGGTTTCCGGTTTCTTCTTATAAAAACTTAGGTAGGGTAGGTCGGTTTTAACTTTTTTTTTAAACTTTTTTTTAATTTTCCGAATAAGTGGACGCCATTTTGTTTAGTCAGTGCTTCCACATCCAAAGATAAATTTCCCTAATATTGCCTCAAATTTCAATTTTCCACAAACTTTTTCCTCTAAGTGGAAACACTTACAAGCATGATCCAATAAAAAAGTTTAGGGTCGGGATTTCGACGTCGAAAAGCTAGGTAGGGTCGGGAAACCGGAAACCCACATATTTTTTTTTTGGCCTTAGTTAACAAGCTGGAAGCATATTCTTCTCACATGCAACTGAGGTGAAATTCTACAAAAACTTAGGCGAGTTGTACGTGTGCTTGCATGATTTCCACAGTACAACTCAAGTTATAAGCAGGTTGCATGTGACAGTTTTAGGCCAAATTAAGTTGTGTATAGTTTAAATCGGTGCAGGAAAATTTTACATCCTCGTTTAAGGCTTGAAATAACAGCCATTATCACTGATCAATGATCGGCAAATAATTGCTTATGATCGGTGGAAAAGCAGGTTTCCAACCAGAAAAAGCAGGGAAAGTCGTGACTGCCAATCACCATGATCAGTAACTTTGTGAACGTTATTTCAAGCCCTGCTGGTGTCAGATGAAAGACAGATGTACTATGATCACTGTGTCAGCCATAAATGCTTTCTATATATTTTCTGTGTTAGTTGTAATTTATTTCCTTTTTCATTCAGTACATGTTGCACTATTTAAAAAGCCTTGAGGATTGGTGTGATGATGAAACCTGGCAGCTCTCACAGTTACCACAAACAAGCTGGTCTATTCTCAATGATACATTTCATACAACACTCTGTCTGGAGGAAACTGTACCTAGAATTGCTGTAGCTGTTCTTTACTTTGCTGTGTCAAGCACAGGGTTGAAAATACCATGTGAAACTGCACAAAGACAGTGGTGGCAGGTTGGTCCTTGCTTATATTTACATCTATATACAGTGCAGGGCTAAAAAAACGGCCGATAAGTCTCCAGTCAAAATAACCGGTCAACTTGATTAATAGCTCAGTCAAAATACATACACATACTGACAGTGAAACAAATCATAAAGTGACCGGTCAACATGCAGGCATTTTTGGCTGGTCATTGTCTGTTCACTGGCCATTATTTGGAGCCCTACAGTCCACTATAATAAATGCCAATACTTTCCTCTCAAGTTTGACAATTAAATCTGCTAATGTAGGGCACATGGCTACTTAAATTAGTTAAATAGCTTAATAAACTCATTGCAACGATTGATAAATTTGATTTTTATTATATTGCAGGTATTTTGTCCAGATAGAACAGAAGAAGATTTACATAAAATAGTCAACAGAATCATGGATCTTTATGACTTTGAGACTGAGAAAGTATTGCATGTTCCTTCACAGGAATAAATGTATCGAAATATAGTGTATAGTACAAAATGTATATAACACAATTACACACATTGCATTACTTGTAGACTATAAATGCTCCAATTAAGTCTTTCGGAAGCAATCACCTTATATCTGTTCCCTGAGAGTGGTTGCTTTCAAAAGCTACAAGTATGCGATCTATGTGTGTGTTTTCCATAACATAATTTGGCCAGGCCTAATTACATTGCAATTTAAATTTTAGGTACTAGTTAAAACATATGCAGCCGATCTTTATCTGATATACAACCCATCTTATGAGTTCATTGGCAAAGTAAATTTAAAAATAAACATTGTCTAAGTCGAGAAAATCAAAGCTGAAGTTTATGTAAATCAGGACAAATCTTTATCCAATTTACAAACATGTTTAAGCAAACATTCATTTCTTTTGAATTTTCTTCATGAATTATTACTGATATTTTAAATAGTGTAAAACTGTGTTATTTACTAAAATTTCATAATGTCAATTATTTATAGTTAAAATCTATAGAAAGTTAACATTTATATAAAGTTACTATTTATATAATATTTATTTTTTGTGCACTCGGTCATTCTTATTAACAGTATTACTGTACCTTAACTTGTCTTAACAATTCTTTCTGATTGTAAGTCGTTAACAAGTTCCATCAAAGTGTCGACATTATGATCAGCATTTTCTTTGAATTTTGTGTTGGCTGGGTTGTTTAGAAGAACTGTCACTGTTTTGAAATAAAAATATTTTGAAATTTCATTTATATTGGTTTTGCAGGCCAGCAGATGGTGTTCAACTTTAGAAATGTTAGCAATAGACAATCCCCATTATAGACTAATTTTAAAACTAGGCAAGGAGATGCAAATAAATCACCACAGCTAGAAAGAGCATACTAAAACGAGTAAAATTGCAAAGTTTGGTTGCAAAATGTTGTATTAAATGCAGAAAATATAACCTTGCACAGTTTGCAAATTTTGCATACTTTTGTATTGCGTGCGAAAATTGCTACCACATTTGGGTCGAACATGGTAGCAATTTCCGCACGCAATACAAAAGTATACAAAACTTGCAAGGCTATATTTTCCACATTTTACAACATTTCGCAACCAAACTTTGCAATGTTACTCATTTTAGTATGCTCTTTCTAGCTGTGGTGATTTATTTGCATCTCCTTGCCTAGTTTTAAAATTAGTCTATAATGGGGAATTGTCTATTGTAGGAGTAAGAAAATGATATTTTTCTCACTTTGATCACTGTAGGTTCACCACACTCTCAATGAAAATCCATGTCTAGAACAGAGTTTGTTAAAATCTTAACAAATCTTAATCTGTTTCAATACCTGCACCAGCTGCCTTGCCGGACTCAATGTCATGTCTGTGGTCACCAACGACAACGGTGTTGCAACATTCTATCTTCCATTGGTTACAAATATGCAACACTGGAGCAGGGTCTGGCTTTATTGGCTTGAAATCCCTCGTCAAGATCTAAACAATATTGTTTCTTTTAATTATAATAAAATTGTTTTTATTTAATTATGGTTAACTATTATTGTCATGATTATTAATAGGCATAATCGGCCAACATGTTTACATCCATTACCACCCAATTCGCTCGAAACGTCGAGTTTCTGCTTGTTTTTTAAGGTAGTAATATAACCATTCAGCACAGCATTTTCACATTGGTACTACCTACACTGGTACATCGAGTTTTAGTATATACTTTAATCAATATATAGGAAAAACCCTCTAAAAGAACAATACTCACATGAGAAAAGATCTTGCCATCCTGAAAACGAGGTTTTAAGTGTTTTAAAAACAGCTCGACGGCTTTGTGGTCGTTCCTGGTTACAATGGCCAACTTTATTTGATTTTCATAAAATTTCTCCAGCATTTCATCAACTCCTGGTTGCAATGCAAACTTTTCTCGTCCTTCGGCTTCAAATTCCTCTAAAATACGTAACATTTCTTGCTTTTCTGCTGCACTTTCTCGCTTCTCTACGCTAGCTAGTATATCGTCCGTGTGCGAAACATTGAAACGTTTCAGCCTTTCTCTCAGTATAGCAAAGTTTAAAACTGGAACGGTCAGGGTGCCATCCAAGTCGAAAATTACTCCAAAAATTGGCACCATTTTTCGTAACGAACCGTTCAGAACGTAAGTAAACCGGTTACATGCCATTTTAGCGGAAAAAAGTGAGAAAAAAGGTGATTTTTTGAAGTTTTTAATCCTTTTATATAAACTTTCTGTAAAATTTGTGACTTTTCACGTTGTTTTATTTTGGTGCCAGCGATATTTGGGCCAGCTACATATGAAGTACTTTATGTCGCATTCTTCGTACTATCACCGCCAACTTTTTTTCCAAATCTCGCTCTTAGCCAATGAAAAGCTTTAATTTTTTAACAAAACGGCCAATAATACGAGATCACCTGAATAGTTTTAGTGACCACGGATCTATAGACGGAATTGAATGGTAGTTTTTGTCTCGAAGCCAAAAGATCATTTGGGTAATAGGCTATCCAGGGTCAAGGGCATGGGTTTTTCCGGAAAATTTTGAATTTGGGAAATTGAGATGGCTATTTCCTGCGTTCTCAGCGGGAAATTATGCTTTCGTTTTGTTTTAAATCTCAGCAGAAATATTCCTATAGTTAGAGAACATTGCAATATAACTACACATTTGGGGTTTGCCATTTAATCGACATGTCATTTTCCCCCAAAATTCGAAAGCTATAAATTGTAGAATTCGTTCAATTTGGAGAAGAGGCCATTGGATGACCCCTGCAACGCCCTGGCTTACGTATAAACATCATTCATCGCTTTAATGACATATTGTAAAGATAAATACCACTCTACTGCCCGTGGTCAGATCACGAACAATTGAATAGTGTATTGTTGTCAGTCAGACTTAAAAGTACTGGTCGCTTCACAATGGCTAGATACGTACTCTACATATACGTCGCTATATGGCTGTCTTCGCTCGTTTATGTGATACAGGGAGATATAAATGCCGGACATATATCTCAATTCCATTTTAGCTCAGAGAGACTTGGTTGTGAGAGTGTTTCCAGCCAATATGTTTGCCCAGCTACCACACTCAGCCCCGACCTTGCGCTTGATTACGAAACGGACGCAGATTTGTTGAATCTTACACTAGAGGATATTAAAGCGAACAACGCCAGTCAAGAATGTATTTCAGCCATAACCACGACGTACTGTTCAAGTTTTACACCTCGTTGTTTTGTGAACGGGAGCAGAGATTATGGCGACGCACGAAAGGCGTGCTGGAAAGCGAATAGAACATGTCCTGTGGACAGTATTGAAGAAGGGTTGTGCGAGTCCCTTAAAGTAGGCCTACAGCCACTCAGCGCTTGTGTGAAACCTTCCAAACCGATCAATGGAAGTTGTCCGCAACCGAAATTCAAGGTAGGGGGCGATTAAAATGACATAACTGCGCTCAGTATGATATAACAATTTTAATTTAATATACATTAAACGCGCTGTTGCGCCATGTTTTTTACACACAGCACATAACACGAGCGGTCGTGTTGAAAACACGAGCGGTCGTGTTGAAAACACGAGCAGGCGGGTCTCGTTATATATCTTATACAACACGAACATAATTGCTGTAAAGTGTGTTGAAAACATGCCTATTCTTCAATTATCATTAAGAGCGCCGAGATTAGAAGGCAACCAAATTTGGTATGATTGTTTCCTTAAAAATTTTCAACGAAAGGTTTTTCATCGCGTTTTTTTCTCGACTTGTACATATCTATGATAGCAAGAATCTATCAGAACTCCTGCATTTTTCATCCTACTGCTTACAAAGAAAAATCAGATCACTGAATGGGCTCTCCACGAACTTTCCTACATACTGAACATAATTGCTTATATATTTCTGAAGCATGACATGGAAAGATAATTTTATCTCAAACACTATTAACCGTGAATATGGAGGCACAAATATATTGACTATTGTTATTAGTTATTTTGTATAAGATAATTTTTGTTTTGATGATATTTGAATACCGCCATATTTCTAAATCTACAAACATGATATTTTTGTACTTTGTTTATGTTATCCTTAATCGTATTTCAAAATGAAAATAACACGTCAATAATCAGTAACCACAAGCGCAAGGCGAAGAAAACTACTTGACAACAAAAGTGAATTAAAACCATCTATTTATATCATCTGTAAAGGCCGAAATTGCCTAAGCATATTTCCGCACAATCTATCGTCGACACAGTAGCGTTCCAATTTTACCGATGGTAAAGGTCAATTTAGCAAAGGCAACTACTTCACTACAAAATGGGATTAATGTCGTTTCATGACGAAAAACCTTTATAAAGACTTAACCACATTTCAACGACATCTTTTGTCGATAAAGTGTTTTTGGTTTTGCAAGCATTCCAGTTGTGTGTGAAGATCAATTACACAAACTGACCTGATGAGATTAGATAAAGTATACAACCCAGTAAAACTCAGTTCCCATATCTTGGCTCAAGAGTCGGTTTATTTTATTTTTAATGTGGTCAAGTATAGTTTCGCCCTTCCTGACGCGCATCCTTCATTTCCTATTTCTCTGTTCCTCCTACGTTTGTCGGTGTTCTATAGTTTAACCTTGAGAAACGTTTTGTATCAGAGAACACTCATGACAAATTTGGAATTTAAAGCATTTGGTTATTAATTGTTGTTTGTCAACATAAAAATCCCAGCAATATACCAAGCTTGGTTCCATATGGTCGTAACGGTCGTAAAGATTGAGTCACGATCTTTCTCATCAGCCGAAATACAACATTTGAGAACTGAAAATACGCAGAGTGATTATAACTAGAGAATACTTATGATTTATATGTGGTTTACAGGTATAAACTATCAGAAACTGGCCGTTGAGAAAGA